GGTGAGTGTTTTTAGCTTTGTGTACAAAATATGTACTGTTCTTTTGGGATTTTTCTCTTTGCCTTTCTGATTCTTTTGTCAGTCACTCACTCTTTGTGATAACTTTTTATTTCGTCCTTCAGGTTTGGGATATGTTTATTTATCCCATATTATTATTATTTTTTTATGATTATCAAGGTTAGTTTATCTAAAACTCAACTAATATTCTAGACACATTGAACACCCTAAAAACAGAATGTTTTAGATAAACCACAAATATAATAGGAGAAAGTAATGTGGTTTGAACTCAAGAAGTCAATAATGAGAGCAAAACTTCTTAAAAGTCAGACCAACCCTTTGAGATTGTCAAAGTATAATTGGTTACAAAAACGCTTCAGTCTTATCAAAGTCAAATGATAGACATTAATGTTCTCAACACATTGACACACATTTTTCACTTAAAAGTCTATTATACCCTTGTCGACCATATTAAATTGATGATTATTAAAGAAAATTACAATTCGAGAGACATTAAAATTGTACTTCGAGAGTTTAAGACATGTCTCAAAGAATAAAGGCATGTGGCACGATGAGCATGTTCGCCTGAATGGTCCGTCTGTCGTGGTGGTCACAGCATTGCCTAGTCAGCTATGGCACCTCTATCGGCGGTTTGTCTTCTCCAGTTTTAGAAATCTCATCTTTGACGTATATATTAGGATTTAAATTGATTAAGGAAGATACAAATGATAATAGTGAGAAAGTTATCCTATCCAATCATATCTTATCCAATCCTACAAAAAATGCATATTTGTTTTAATATTCTCAAAATTCAATCATATTCTATTCAACTCGAAATATTTATATTTTTTTAACTCCCTAGATTTGTTAATTTAACTAAACACTCCCAACAATAAAAGTTTATAAATTGACAAAAATACTCTCATCCACCCACATATTCCCGACAGTTGGTCACTATCGCCAGAAGGTGGTCGAAATCTATTGAAATGGAGCACGACTGGTTGGATTTGGTAGTCGCCCGGAAAAGCCCAGATCAACGTACGATTGGCCAGATACAGCCGATCATGCGACATTTCGACTACTTATGGCCAACTGTCGGCATTTAATGGGTGGGTAGAGGTGTTTGTATTAATTTTTAATGTTTTATTGTTGGGTGTGTTTAGCTAAACTAACAAATATAGGGGATTAAAAAATAATCTAAATATTTTCAGAAAATGTTTTCCAAAAATTTGCCAAACACATTTTCAAATTCAAATCTTATTCTCGTAGTAACAACCCAACTCAACTTTTTAAAAAATATTACTCTAAATAATCTACCAAACACGCCCATATATTCTTTTATGTTTTTTAACACTATCCTTAAGAAATGTTAGACTTAGCAAAACACCATTAAAATTGTGGGCTATGAATAAACACCAATGCTCGATATTTGATAGGACTAAAATGTTAGTAACCCGTAATGTTAGTGGTAGAGTGAACATATCCCAAACCTAAATGATGAAATTAAGTGGACTCCACTATACTTTGGACCGATTTGTAAAATAAGGATCCAATTTATTTTGTAATGGACGGGCCAGCCCAACTCAATATATGGGCTGGGTTGGGCTTGGCTAAACGTAGACTCCAAAAACTTCAATTCTCATGAAGAGTGGTACCTAAATGCAAGCTTCTTTTGACCAATGCATCTTTAACCCGCTTTATAAAAACCAAAGAGTAACATTCTATCACCTCGTCGAGTAGGGTTTGAGGAATTCTGATCATCGCAATTTGTCTTACCCATTTCATTGTTGGAGCTCGGATTTGTCTACCCACTTCTTTTTAGTAAGGTTTATAACGGTCCTCTTGGCCCAAATCTAGATATCATTTTTTCAAATGAGTTAAGAGATCAATTGAACTTGTAAGCAGAGGATGTTACAATTAAAAATGCACCTACTCGGTGAATGATTTTTTTTTTCTTTTTTACAATGAAATTATCCATAAACCATTAGAGAAGAGACCATGTACTCACACGGATCAATGAATTAGGGTAAGATTAGATTTGCTTAGCTGTTTTAATTAATTGTTCTCCACTTTTAGTTTTTAAAGTTTTGGTGACCCATAATATATATTATATATATATAGATATCGATATATATATATATATATATATATGTTTTGATGTGACTGGAGTGTCCAAGCCAACTTGCGTATGTCTCAATTAATCTCCAAAATCTATTGAACACTTTACGAACCTAATAGATTAGGTAAGTTACAAATGTGATAGGTATTCACTTGGTAAGACTCGATTACAAGACCTTTAGGTAACCTAAGGTTTTGCCGTCCGGCCACAAGTCAAGTGGATTAGGTGCCCCAATTGCCCCATTCATTCATATGTCAACTCAATAATTCAGAAATACTCAATGTAACTAGCTTACTTTGAGTCACAATTTGCCTCATCAAAGTGCCCCACAATCCACGTTACCAATTAAATATAAAAAGATATTAAACATAAACATGAAAGCTTAGGTGATTTTGCTACTATAAGTGCCCCCACTTTGCTCCTAATAACACTATTTGTGAGTCAGCTTTACGTGGACTCACTCAATTTTGCAGGTGGGCATTTTCAATTTCCATTGACAGGAACAGGATCCACTAAATTGGTTGGATTCTTTAATTACCACTATATATAATTAGATAAGAGTAAAGGTTTGTCTTAATGATACTTTCCCACCCAAAGTTAATATTATGTTATTATTCAAAGCCGATTTCAGCCGATTTCGAAGATAAAAATTATCTCTGTCACCACCATTTGAATCTCTGGTCTCCTCTCTATAAAACCTCTCTCACTCCAATACTTGATTTCTTGTCGATTGTTGACCATTACAAAGTTAAAGTTTTATATTCTTAACTGATTTTCAGTTGATTCTGATAAAGAATATTCAATCAGTCACTATCATTCGATCCATCGGCCTCCACTATACAAAACTATTCTTACCTTAACTCTTGGTAACTCGTTGAACACCGGTTGAGAAAGTGAAGTGTATTTTAGGTACTAATAAAAATTATGAAATACAAACTTTGGGTGGGAAAATAGTGTTTTGAAATTTTTTTAGTGGGAAATTGTCGTTAAGGCAAATCTTGGGTAAATCTTGGGTGGAAAAAAGTCGTTTACCCATTAGATAAGTGAAAATGAGGCAAGCCAATCAACCGGTGGGTTGGTTTCTAGTGGTTTCCATCACATAATTAGCTACACTTATCTTTGTAATGTTAGGGGTGATCCATTTCAATTTAGATGTGACATTTGATTTTGGCCTTTTGGGCATAGATTATGCCGTATATGTTGTTAGCCTATGGAATATATGTTGATACTAAAAGACAATTCACACCCATTGTTTAATTTAATTTAATTTAGGGCAAGAAAAAAAAAAATACCAACCAAACCCTAACATTTGGAGAAAACTTAACATTGTCTCCCATATTTGCATTTATTATCTAATTCATCCCTTTATAGGTATTATATAACATTCGAGCATTGCTCTTCAAGGGTACGTAAACAAATAAAGGAGGTTATGGAATAAGATCATTATCCTCCTGCGTGACAATTCTCGCTAACCCCATTATACTCATTTCATGTCGACGTATTAGTTATTACCCACCTCGACAAATTCCTCAGAGAAGTTATCCCACAACAACCCACCGTTACGGTCCTCCAGATAAATCATGGGTAAAAGTATTATCTTTGTATTCAACAGAAAATCAAACCTGAGATTGTGGGTTAAAACCATACACAACCCCTTTAGTTCGCCTTACCATTGGGCTACTCATGTGTCGGTTATTACTCTATTGTCCAGTATATTCATGAATGATAATTGTGATGGTTATATAATAGACATTGTACTGAAAAAGTATAAATAGTGCTGAAAGTTATACAATAAATATTAAAATGTAATTAAATTAAGAACGATGCTATAGTTATTGAAAAAGTTTACCAAATTCATGCATCGAATAGACGTGGCACCATCGGCTTTTTTTAAAAAACAAAATACATAATTAATCAATGGTCATGATAGTGCCATATTTGCAAACAAATTCAAGGGTACGTAAACAAATAAAGAAGGTTATGGAATGAGATCATTATCGTCCTGCGTGACAATTCTCGCTAACCCCATTACACTCATTTCATGTCGACATGTTAGTTATTACCCATCTCGACAAATTCCTCAGAGAAGCTATCCCACATCAACCCACCGTTACGGTCCTCCAGATAAATCATGGGTAAAAATACTATCTTTGCATTCAATAGGAAATCGAACCTGAGATTGTAGATTAAAACCATACACAACCCTCTTAGTCAGCCTTCCCATTGGGCTACCCATGTGTCGGTTATTACTCTATTACCTTGTATATTCATGAATGATAATTGTGACGGTTATATAGTAGAGATTGTACTGAAAAAGTATAAATAGTGCTGAAAGTTATACAATAAAGATTAAAATGTAATTAAATTAAGAGCGATACTACAGTTATCGAAAAAATATATCGAATTCATGCACCGAACAAACGTGGTACCATCGGTTTTTTTTTAAAACAAAATTCATAATTAATCAACGATTATGATGGTGCCGTGTATCATTTTCCTTAAATTAAATTAATTTTGAGAGAGCAAATAAGTACTAAAACAGTAAAATTATTTATAAAATGAATAAATCACAGCGTTGAAAATCAAGATTATAATTAGATGCACGTGTGCTTTATAAAGGAATGTTCTAGATGCCCCCACTCTTCCAAAGATCTTGCCAGTTCCTTATCCACACATATTTCTAGAACAGTGGTAATTAATCTTAATTAATTAACATATTATTTGTTTATTTATTAAAATTATGAAATTATGATGGGTCATATCAAATCTAGTTTTTTGGAAAAAGGGAATTGCGAAAAGTCCCTGGAAAAGGTTAGAATTACAAAAAAGAAAGCAAAAAGGCCATAACAAGACACAGAGCAGACGGAGAGTTCAAAGAGTCAAAGAAGAAAGCATTTAATTTCAAACTATAAATACGTAGCGGGACTAGGGTTTGTTCTGTTTTGTTTTGGTTTGTTTTGTTGTCTCGTGTTTCTTCTTATGAGAAAAGAAACCTCTAGAATCTTTACAAAGAAAGAAAAAGAAGATGGTGAGACCGAGGTGTTTCTTGGACATAAGTATTGGAGGAGAACTCGAGGGGAGAATCATTGTGGAGCTCTACAACGATGTTGTTCCGAAAACGGCTGAAAACTTCAGGGCACTTTGTACTGGTGAGAAGGGCATTGGCCCTAACACGTCTGTTCCTCTCCATTTCAAGGTATCTTTGGTTCTTGGCTCTTTGATTATTGATTTTTACTTGCATTTGAAAGATATCAGTATTTTCAAGTTAGTGTTGTTTGTAGAAATGATGGGTTGATTGTGATGGCTTTCTGCGAAGATGATATTTTAAGGCATTACTTTGTTTTATGTGAATGAATGTGGTGATGATTTTGGCTTTTGAATCTTGATCATGGGTGGTTTTGATTACGTGACATGTTTGTTTTATTGATTGTTTAGTGACTGGTGAGCCATTGATGTTTATTTAGTTCTACTTTAGTTAGAGTTTTTTCTTTTCTTTTTTTCACATTTTTGGGTAATAGTTTGATTATTTTTGCATTGGAAAGGATGAGGTACTTTTTGTAACTGATAGCAAAGATGATGGATATATGCCTTTACTTTGGAAATTTCAGTTTTATGTTAGTGACTGGTTTATATTATGGAGGGAGGGGAATATCTGGGAAAATTATCACCATTGTTTATTTATTTACTTGTTGCGGAAGAATTTGGATTAATAAATGAATGAATGTAATAACTGTGTTTAATCTTTGATTGTTTGTGTTAGTGGTGTGGTTAGGGGATATTGATGCATTGTTTGTGTGTATGTATTTCTACTGGTTTATTCTTTTTGATGAAATTGCAATTATGGTTTTGCTAATTTGGGAAAAAATTATGTAATATTAGTTTAATTAATCAGAAGAGAAATTTGATTTTCTGCATTTGATCATTTGGTATTTGTAAATCATCTGAGCTCCAAGTGTCACGTTAGCTATGCCTCATTTATGGTTTTTTTGTTAGCTGTGATCATTTTTGTGTTTGTACGTATTTGTAAATCAATAATCCTACGATTTATCTTTTCTTTCTGATCAATTAGTGACATACCCTGAATGTATTGTGAATATTTTCTATTTATTTAGGGTGATTGAGTAATATCAGTTCTTCAATACCATTCACTGATAAAAACTAATCTCTTATTTGTTTCTTTTCCTAATGATAATTATATTTTTGTTTCAGGGAGTCTGTTTTCATCGTGTCATTAAAGGGTTTATGATACAAGGAGGAGACATTTCTGCTGGAGATGGCACTGGTGGAGAATCAATCTATGGGTTAAAGTTTGAAGATGAGAATTTCGAATTGAAACATGAACGAAAAGGAATGTTATCTATGGCTAATGCTGGCTCTAACACAAATGGGTCTCAGTTCTTCATCACAACAACTCGTACGTCTCACTTAGATGGGAAACACATTGTGTTTGGGAAGGTAGTTAAAGGAATGGGGGTTGTTCGTTCAATTGAGCATGTCACAACTGGTGAAAATGATCGCCCCACTGTTGATGTTGTAATTACTGATTGCGGAGAGATTCCTGAGGGGGCTGATGATGGGATATCTAATTTTTTCAAAGATGGTGATATTTATCCTGATTGGCCAGCTGACCTTGATAAGAGTCCCAATGAACTTTCTTGGTGGATGGATGCCGTTGACTCTATTAAAGCTTTTGGAAATGAACATTACAAGGTAATGACTGCTGTTATATGAATCTATCTCCCATTGACATATTTGGTGAACCAAATTGAACTATGTGAAACATAGTTATAGTAGGTGGAGACAAACATAGAAATATCATGTACTTCAGCATTTGAATTATTCTTATAGTTATTATTCTGATTACCTTTTCATTTCTCTGGTAATTCTTTTTTCTCTTTTCATTGCACCATTTTTGATAAGGCTGATTATTATTTTGTTAGAAACAAGACTATAAGATGGCTCTTAGAAAGTACCGGAAGGCTTTGCGTTATTTGGATATCTGCTGGGAGAAAGAAGGAATTGATGAAGGTTAATTATTTGTTATGGAATTCTGTTGTTTATTGCCTTTTTCATTTGAACTTGGTTATACTGACTGTGCATATTATTTACTCTTGTGGCTCTGCAGAGAAGAGTTCATCTTTAAGAAAGACAAAGTCACAGATCTTCACAAACAGCTCTGTAAGATCTCTCTCTCTCTCTCTCTCTCTCTCTCTCTCTCTCTCTTTTTCCCCAAATATAAGGGACTGCATTTGAGCATGGAGCATTTTATAGTTTATGTCATTGCTATGTGGATCAACGTATCTTCATCCATTGTATTATGCAAGGTAATTTTTTGAACAGAATGTCAAGAAGGCTTAGCAAGTTGTGGAAATCTTTTGTTGTAAGAAAATAGCCAGTGCCTCTATTGTAGTTTGACTCTTGTTTGGATTATTTTCAGTTGATATTTCTTTGTATCATTTCCTCCTCACCAACTTTAGAGTTCTTGGACTTTGTGATGGGATTGTATTCAAGTCCTGATGTGGTGCAAACCTTTTATCTGTTCATTACCTGTTGCCTCGGTATTTGACCACTATGAAGATAACTTTTGTACAGTTATTCTTCCTAAGCTTAATTTTGTCTATTAATTGATGCTTTATATCTTGCTATAGGCTTGTAAACTGAAAATGGGAGATCTTAAAGGGGCATTATTGGATACAGAGTTTGCAATGCGTGATGGAGATAACAATGTGAAAGCTTTGTTTCGTCAAGGTCAGGTTAGTATCATCCATCTGTAAGAATTTCAATCACTGGTATGGCAGGATCAATTTTATATAGTTTTCCTAGGTAGCTGCTATGTAGTCAACTCTTGAAAATTGTTTTTTCTTGGATTTGTAATAGAGGTTTTAATCATCATGAAATCTATAGCTTTCAGCTACTTTAGTTTTTTGCTTGTTCAAATCTGTTTAATTTATACAAGTTATGCTTACACAATTCTTTTATCCTAGGCTGGTGGGCTTGTAAAAATTTAAACTTGAAATAGTGCACCAGCTGGCTGTTTGAAGTGCATTAACATGTTTCTTTCTAGTTATCATTTGTTTAAATGTTCTGCCTTTAGATATTTTATCAGTTTCTCTCTCTCTCTCTCTCTCTTTTGGGATGGTTTACGCCTGCTTGCAAATTTGTTCTGTACCATTTTGTGTCTCATGACGCTTCAAATTCTAATGATTGTGTTCTTATCTATCAGGCATACATGGCCCTTAACGATGTTGATGCGGCTGTTGAAAGCTTTGAGAAGGCACTGAAATTGGAGCCAAATGATGGTATGTGATAGTCTTTGACTTTGCCTCTTGCATAGAATTAGTGGTGAAATGAACTCTGAACTTACAGATGTATGTTAATTTTAACATTATATTTACAGAGGATCCATATTCAGCTTCTCTTTTTTTTTTTTTTTTTCACTTTTTGAATCTATGATTTGGTTGAGTCATAATTATCAATAGGATTCTTTTGTGGGACAAGGTCTAGGATATTTATCAATTTGCAAACATTTATAAACTAACACACCCACACAAGCATGTCAATGTGTACTGTAATGGTACAGTAGTTTTAACTTTGAATGGAATAGAGTCGTATCTGTTAGCGTGATGCTTTCTTACATACATCCATTAGTAGTGGATTCTATTGTAAGTTGCTCATAACTTGTTTATCTTGTGCTATTCAGGTGGAATAAAGAAGGAACTTGCTGTTGCTAAGAAGAAGGTTGGTAGATTAAACTTACCTTGTCATATATATTTTTATGAGAAATAGTTATGGTCAAATATGTCTTAAATCATTAAACTTTTTTTTACAGATTCATGATAGACGTGAGCAGGAGAAAAGGCAATATCGCAAGATGTTTCAATAGCACTTTGGCCATTAACTGGTACGTTAATCACCTTCTGAAAGTTGTTGGCTGCCCTTCTTACTGTCAGCCTTATGGGATTTTGTAATGTTGAAGATCTTTTTATAGTAGTTGGATGGAGTCAACTGGTTCAGGCCTTTTCTTTTTCCTGTTACAAGCTCAGATAATCATATCTGATATTGGTATTCCTTTTCTTTTCTCTTTTCTTTTTTTTTTTTTTTTTTTTTTTTTTTTTTGTGTTTCAGGTTTTTGTTTTGCTGCAAATTCAACTGTACAAATTTGAGGCTTGAACCAATTCTTAATAGAGTCATTATACAAATTTATTTTGAACTGCAGCTTTTAGTAAAATATAGAATCTTCAGAAGCTGTTGAACTTTAACTGCATTACATTTCAATTTGTTCCATTTGAAGTTGGCCATAAAACAGACAATTTTGACTTGGATCTATTTTTAATGTTGGATTCATATTCTGCTTATGTTTCTGTGATTGTTTTAGTACAGGATTAGTAGCCTCTTGCTTCTTTCAATGTTTTAAAACTCAACCCCGGGTGGAACCTAGCAAAGTGGTCGGGTCTTGAGTTGATTGCTTTAACCGATTTGATCGATGGGTCAAACTGGTGTCCAAAAGTTTGAAATCTAATAAAAATACCCCAAACATTGAAAGCAGGACTCCAAATACCACCGTCGGCGTCAACAAATAGGGCTTGTTTCTGGCGACAATAATACTCTTAACCAAAACCCATCTCATCCTTCTTCCATTCGCCTCCCTAGTCGTCAACGACAACAGGATTTTTCTGACAATATTGTTTTCCAATTTCTGATCGATTCACTTAACGGAAATCAACGTCGATGCCATCGACAGTTTCTTTTCAAAAAATTTAATATTTTAGTCTTCAATTATTCACGGATTGATATCTTAATTTCTATGGTTTTAAATGAATAAAAAAATTTGTAACTCGGCCTAATAAGATACTAGATTCAACGGCTTCTTTGATTGTTTGCTTCAGAAAGAAGCTTCGCCATTTAGATAACGGGATGCTGGAACAAATAACATAAACACTTTTCACCCACTAATAAATATAATTGGGCATCAGAAATATCATAATTCCAATCTACAGTTTTCACGCTATGAAGAACAAGCAAATGTTGGACAGTAAAAGAACATTCACAACAACAACAAATTGTGGTAAATCCATTGTGGAATAAGCTATTTGTTATAGTCATCGAGCCCCAAATCTCTCAATGCATCGGTAGCGGCATCCTTGCAGCTTGCATGATTCACCTTTGCCTGCCTAATAAGTTTTTCGATGCCATTATTGAGCAGAAGGGTTCTGTCCAAAGAAAAGAGTCCATTAAGACAAACTGTGATTCTTTAATAATTCCACCACACAAAGATATAGGGCTTCCAATGAAAGGGTAAAAGCAGGTTGTGCCTTATGAGCGGCCTTGCCTGTTTTCTGGGTTTCTTGCTACAAGATTGCGGATCATGAAACAGGAGTTTTTTTGCAGTTGCTGTGCCTTGGGAAACTTTTGCATGACTTGGATAGCAAGGTCTCCTGCTCCAGCTTCCATGGCACGAGTTACGTTGTCCGGAGATCTCAAGGAAAGTACAGTATAATAGACATAACCTAAAGCACAAGAAAAATGACACCAGTGACAAAATATAAAAAGAAAAAAAGAAAAAAGAAACAACAATGAAACATAAATGCGTTGTTAAAATTGATGAAGGTCATCATGTACATTCATTTGTACAAGACTTGCTGGAGGCTTACCTCTTGCGAACAGAAGGATCATCAGAAAATCTTGCTGAGAGTTTGATTAGCATATCCATTCCGCCCTTCTCATAATAGAACTCTTATTCGAGTCACTTCCTGCCAACTAATCAGAAGAAGCATATAAAAGAAGAGCTTAAATGCTTTAACAAGAAGCAATAGTGATTTGAAAAGGCCAAGATCTGAAGTTTTTTTAAAGAAAGAAGGGTGAAAGAGAGCATTTTCAATTCTACCGTGGATAACAAAGAACAGCAAGTTCTAGCTACAGCTTTGTTGCCTTGTTCGCCACTCTCATCAATACATCGGAGAAGTGCATCAATACCACCACATTCTGCAATGGATGTGCATATTCATCCTGCAGCAAAATATATAAAAAATAAAAAATCCAAGTTAATACAAAATCTGCACTAAACTAGTATGGTAATTTCAAATTTTCATATTTGACATCAGCAAATCTAGTCTTCCACGCTACTGGTAGGATTTAGAAACATTCTATTGATGAAATTTGAGATACTTCCCATGCTTTAAGCTTTTGAAAGGAGCAAACATTTTCATTGATCACAACTTGTAAACATTATGAAATCAGATCATTTGATTAACACTAGTTAGTTCTCCTATAAAACTACAGTTTTAGCAATACTACCAGAGATATCAACAAATAGAAGGAATGTGGTATAGTATTTTTGCGTCAACTTAAATATTGCATGTTTCTTTGTGTGAGCAAATTTACACAGATACAACGAAAAAATATGAAATAGCAATTATGCACAAGCAATTAGATTAATCAAAAAGAAAAAGCAGCTTCCTTGTAATACTTCCAACACTATGTGTATGTTAATGTAAAATTTATACATACTGTAGAAGATAGGCTTTCATAATCGCTAGGGTAACGACTGATGGAAGGTTTTGAATCTTTTTGCTGGAATGATATTGGAGACTCAATATCATTATAAAAATCAACAATTTCTTCAAAAAAAAAAAAAAAAAATTGTTTAGCCACGTGCAGTTTGTTAGCTGATTTCCAAATCATTAGTAAGTATACATTATTACTCACTAAAGTCTGTAAGCAACAACAAGATTTGCAAAATACTTCATTAAAAGAACTTAAGACTTTTCTCTAAATTGCTACCATAAAAATGCTTACATAATCAAAATATCACAATTCATACTAGTTCACATTGACATACACAATGAAAATTGATGCCTTACATTAACTTACATTGACAGCAATGGCTTCATCACGAGCAGTAGCAACAACATTAGGTGAGGCAAGCCCTTCAGCTAGTGAAAGGTAAGAGCTTTTGCAATTCCAATCTTTCAAATCTCTGGCATAACCATAAACCTGAACGTTTGCAATTAGATCTGAATTCCTGATTACTTGAGGAACCCATTCATATGTCCATTTCTAGCACAGAAAAATTTGAATTAAAAAATATTCAAAATTATGAAGGAACTGCTCAGTCTAACAGATGAGTTTTGACACCATGACCTGGCTTCAAAACCAGCCTCACAAAATTTTCACCACCACCAAAATGAGAAAAAGAAAATGTATAAAAAGCATTAAAATGTTACAACTTCATAATCTATAGATGTGTTAAATTTGGTAATGCACAAGTCAACATGCATTTCTATAGCCTTACTTACTTGGAAGCCACAACACGATCATCATCAGCATCAACGAACACGCATTGCATAATATAAATTTGAATTCTGTCATTTCTCTGTCTACTCAATACTTCCAAGATAAGCTCATCAATTTTCAATTCCATAAATGATTCTTTGACCACCTCATTACCGGTTGCAGATCCGGTAATAACGGCAAAACAACTATTCAAAATATCTGAATCTTCGCTGCCATCTTTTAGGATATCAACCACCATTTTTGGTCCACCATTACCCGAAATGTTTCTGTACTTTGAAGATCTGCTAGAGACAAGTTACAAACATTAAATAAACAGCCATAACATGATTCAAACAATTCAAGTTCTATTACAACACAATCCAACATGTAAAATGCCTATTGATATATAGTCTTTCAGTCCGGCATTTCAGTTCAACATTTTCTTCAGAAGTTAACAACACAAAGGGTGTATATTAAAGTTCAAGCTCAATAAAAGGTTCACCCACTTCACATTATTGTTCAACACTTTCCATGCATCAACAGAACAAAAACACCAAATATCACAAAACCAATAAATTAAGAATCATAACCACCAACAAAACGAACTGAATTAACTATCGGCTAAACCATTTACCATGAATAAACAATGCCATAATTTCAAACACGTAAGAGAACTCGTTTCGACCCCGCGGAATCTTAGAACAAATGGCACAAACCAACTCCACAGCACCATTTCTAGTAGCAATTGGAACATTTCCTGATACTTCATTGTTACACCCGCACACCTCTAGTAGCTTATCAAACAACTCCCTCTCTCATTTAAATCTTCACGTGATTCGATCCTTCGATTTATTCCATTGCTTCAATCTCTCTAATGACTGACTACGGGATTGTCTTTCACACTACTCTCTCCTGGAACGCACTTCACAATCCCTGTAATATAGGAAATAGCCAATTAAATAAAACAAAAACAAAATCCATAAAGTATGTTATACAAATTTTGTATATATAACGCCACTCAAAAATATAAGAAAGAAAGATAAATGGCTGCAATAAAATAGATGCTAAAATTATGAGAAAATTTAATGAATGAGGTTCTGTTTGGAAGGTGAGAAAATGCGGGAAAACAAAAGAAAATGTGATTTCTACTCTTTTTAAAAATGATAACTACACAGATGTTTTAGTCACTTCCAGTTTGATAAACGAGTGTGGAAGCAGCCAAAAGAATATCATTTTCTCTGGAACAAACGGAAAGTTGAAGAGGACCAGAGAGATCAACGCCTTGAAGAGTGAGAGTCTGAATGGCGTCTTGGAGGGCCTCGGCGGGCTCCATTCCTAGATCCTCCATGTTCTCCTTCACAACTTCATCGAACGCTTCCTGAGAGTCGCACGGCCGGTATTGTGGGCTGCCAATCGATGCTATTATCAACCGTCGGATCGGACTGCTTCGGAGGATTGTCTTGCGGCGAAACACCACAGTGAGAGAGAGTGAGAGGGTCTTCTGAATGGAAAGATCCGTTTTTTTTTAAAATTTTAAAAAACTGTCTAAGGGTTTTGGACTGGGCTGCCCGAATCCGGCCCGTCCTGGCTCCTGTACAATCAATTTCGATTTCGATGGTATGGGTTTATGTCTAAAAATTTTTTAATATATTTTATTAAATACTTCAAACTATTAAAAATCTGCAGAAAAAATCAAAATCCCCTTTAAGGTATTTAATTCATAATTTAGGTATATTTATACACTTTAGTGTTGAGTCCTAAGCTGCAAACGAACTGAACATTCGCGAACGTTCGTTATTCATTCGATTACTGTTCGATAATTCGCGAACTTTCAACATTCGTCCGATAATATGTTCGATCGAGTTCGAACAAGGGTTTTCGTTCTTTTGTTCGCGACACTATACGTTCGACTAATCCATCCGTTCGTGAACAATTGTTCGATTGTTCGTTCGTTTATGTTCGAAAAACATGTTATGCATTATTATAATTTAATTTTTTTTTCATTTTTATATTATGTTTGATTTAGTTGGATGATTTTTTTTTAATGGTAATCA